CTCCGTAYAGCTTTGGAAAGTCTCACAAACTTTTAGTTTTTTTTTTTTAGTCTTTAAAGCTAAATCGATTAAATGAAACCTCTAAATGTTTTTACTTTTTCTTGACATGATTGACGGGTTTTGTTTATTTTCCAGGTAGTAAAGTGATGAATTATTAAATCTATTCAGTGAGTTATGTTATTTGTGCGTCACCATCTCAGTCACACTGAGCCATTTTGTTTGCATAGTTTGAAATTTACAGCATGAAATGAAGGACGTAAAGACGACAAATAAACAAACAAACATGAACACAGTGCAAACACCTCACCAACACTGATTCTCAGAAAGACTCAAACAAAAATCTTTGCTTCACTTTAAACAGAAACCTAAAAGAATCGACCAAATTTTAGCTCATTAGCTACAAAATGTTTTYCTGTTTAAAAGCAAAGGCTGATTAAAAAAGGACACTTCTGTCATTGTTCACTAATTAAATATTAAATTMATCTAAAGTTTGTTAAAATCCAAGCAGCAGACACTCAAGCATCCTGACTCTAGTTTTCATTTTCTACACCCCAACTTTCTAATTTTCAGGACATTTTTCAAGTGATGCAGTTTAATGATTATATGTGGAAATGTTTTTACTTCATCTAATTTCTCTTTGGGAATCAATAAAGTATTGTGGAATTGAATTGAACTTTTATTTTTATTTGCCCTGGCTCTAACTCTAAAAGCTAACTACTGTTTTTGTTTAACTCTTCATACCATAGTTTACCAGCTACACAAATAATGTTGAATTAAATCGATTGTTTTAATAATGTCTGTAGTTTTTCATTTTATTTCTCTAGAGAAGTACAATTTGTGGTAGATGATGCAACAGGTTAACAACTACATGGACTTAAAATAAACTCTTTGTTTATTTAAAGACATTAGAAATAGAACAAACTAGAAGAACTCTGAGCACACTCTGCCAAGACACTATAAGGTCACTCAGCYGCTGGTCTASAYCAGTGGTTCCCAAACTTTTTATCTTCTGACCCACAAAATATCCACGGCAAAAACTTGTGACCCCAAATATTACTGGTCTGAGTACACGAACTTTGTTAATAACCCTAAAACTCAGGCTTTTTGATGATCTAAACAGCTTATACACAAATATACTGTAAATACTTACTGTATTTATACTTATTTTGTGTTTTTGTGATAGTTATAGGGAAAATATTACATCAGCAATTATTTTATTACCCTTTAAATTGATTTCTGGAGATTATCCAAGGTGCTTCATGACCCATAATTGGGTCCCAAGCCCAACTTTGGGAACCAAAGTGCAGTGGTTCCCAAACTTTTCAGCTTTTGACCCACAAATTAGTAGCAGACCTGTGCCTCCAGCTATTTTTGGATGATAAACATTTGTATCAGGTCAACTAAACGTGGGCATAGTAACAATATTTTTATACTAAATTTATCCGTTTTAAATACATTAACCTCAATCCTTTGTAACAACTAAGCCAAAAATGTAATTAATTCCGAAAATCTTTTCAGGACCCCACCTTGATGTTTTGGGACCCCACTTTGGGTCCCGAGCCCAACTTTGGGAAACACTGGTCTAGATCACCACCAAAATGAAATCATTTGTTCTTTGTGAAAACCTCAACATTTCCTGAAAATGTCATCACAATCAGTTCATAACATTTACAGTGATCTTGTGTGGACTAACCAACGCTTCTGAAACCTAATCAGCATTGCGGGGATAACAAAGACGCGTCCCTTATTTCAACTGATGTAACGTGAAAACTCCAGTGGTTTATGAGTGGAACCACTCATTTTATGCAGTCAACAGGTGATGCAACAGGTAATAAAGTCTGGAAACACTTGTGTTTTTCATTTCCTGTTTCTTTTGTCATATCTATCTTAGCCTGAAGACTGTAGCGGCAGACTTGAATCTTAAAGAATGTGAAGAAAAAGAAATGGACAGTTCCCTTTTTTTAACCTTTGTTTGGATTCACCATGTCCTGCATGGCTGAGAAGCTACATCAGCTTCCAGACTTTTAACGTCTGCACGGATATTCCTGGTCGCCTCCTGCGGCGTCCCTCAGGGATCCAGTCTGGTTCCTCAGAAGTTTGAATTTTGTGGAAAGTTACTTCTGTGTTAAAAATTTTAAAAAAAGTTTGGTTTACTGTTTAAATAAGGAAGTAGTGAATGTCATAGTTGTACAATCCTTATATGTTTGCACCAATAAGACTAAAGATTTGTTATAGGTCAATCAAAAATCATCATCAGTCAATCAAGGTTCAGCTCAGCGTCCGTTTAAAATTATATTTAAAATAAATAAAATAAAGCCAGAACATTTTAGCACTCTTGCTCATTTCTGTTTTTGTTTCTCACCAGCTTCTGACTAAAGATATTTAAAGGCTCTGTCACACTATAACCTCTTATTCAACCTATACCAGCCTATGAACATTTTGTTTTGACTAAAACAATCTTAAAAACACATTTAAAGTTTATTTGATTGGCAACACGACGGCTCAGTGGTTAGCACTGACGCCTCACAGCAAGAAGGTCCTGGGTTCGATCCCCAGTTTGGTCATGGGGTCTGTGTGGAGTTAGCATGTTCTCCTCGTGCTTGTGTGGGTTTTCTCTGGGTACTCCAGTTTCCTACCCCCACCCCATAAACATGGACAATAGGTTGCCTTCAGGCCCAGGCCGTCCTTGAATTAGAGATCAGTGACCTCAATGGGATTTGCATGATTAAACAACGGTTAAAATAAAATAAAAGTCTGTTTGCATAACAGTCTGTAAACGTCCAGAAGAGGCCTGAAGGGGCGGCTGTGACAGAGTGGTTAGAGGAGTCGGTTCGATTCCCCATTCCAGCTGTTTCAGTCATTGTGTCCTTGGGCAAGACACTTCACCCACTTTGCCTACTGATGGTGGTCAGAGGGTCCGGTGGTGCCGGTGCATGGCAGCCCCGCCTCAGTCTGTGTGCTCCAGGGCAGCTGTGGCTACAATGTAGCTTACTATTATCAGTGTGTGAGAAGGAATCATGCTGAAATTATAAAGTGTCTTTGAGGGTCTCGAAAAGCGCTATATAAGACTAATGCATTATTATTATTATTATTATTATTATTATTAAAGTAGTTTTTTTATTCCATCTTCAGCACTGGACAAAATGTTCACAAGTTGGTACAAGTTCTCTAAAATGTTAGTGTAACAAGGCCATAAAACCACGAAGGTCACCAGTCTACATCCTGGCCTTTCTGGGTAGAGTTTGTTCTCTCTGTGCATCCATGGCTCAGTTTCCATCCCACAGATCCAAAACATCAATGTTAGGCTGATTGGTAGCTTTAAACTGTCCCTAGCTGTGAGTGAGTGAGGTAACGATTGTCTTGTTTGTCTCCTGTGATGGACACCAGGTCTTCCAGACCCAGAAAGGAAAAAAAAAGTGTGTAAAAACAAAAACATGAGTGGATGGATTGATGGACTTTCACTGCTTCATAGTTTCAGCGTGGTTATCAGCTCACGTCTGTACGTTTGAGTCGTGAAAATAAAACAACCAACGCAGGAACCAGACCACCAATGTTTTCTACCAGCTTTGGTCAAAACTTTACATCAAATAATTAGCAAAACACGCTCTTCAAACTCAACCAGCAATTGTTTTTCTTCAAATACTAGAACCACCTATTCTGAAAAACTGAGTTCACTCAGGACTGTTGTTTTTTACTTTATGCTCCTTTCAAAAATAAACTACGAAGGCAGAAAGGCACTCAGTTGTTTTTCTATATATTTTTTTTTCAGAAGGTGGGGCAGGTGTTCTGTTGAAACCTGCCTCGATTGGGAAAGCACTGTTAGGAAACAACTTGGCGTGTTGCTACCAGGTACTGACATAAAGAAAAGACAGGTTGCGTTAATTCTTCTAATTCACCCATTTTAGGTCCAAGTTAGATTTTCAAAAATCAATGCCTRTCCCGAGGAATTATGACATCAAAACAGCAGGGGTGTTATTATCTCTTACAATGTCCTCTTTCTCATTACCAGCCGAGCTGAACCGACCTCTGATTGACCTCTGACCTTTCTAGTCCTGGTTTTGTTGACATGGGTGAAATGATAATTTGTCTTTTTTTGGATTTCACAGCAAACCTTTTCTAAAAACTTAGCAAATGAAACTTTAAACACCAGGGATGGGCTGTGACTTTCAAATGTTCAAAATCTAGTTAAAACGCTGTCATTTGAAGCGTTAACATGATGGTCATGGCCTTTGCTTCTGTTCCAGTCAGGTTGTTGTTTTGTCAACAGCAGACCTGCTGCCCACCCCGTCCCAAATAGGGTTGGGCAATATTGGCAAAAAAATTAAGCACGATTAACTGAGGTATTTAGTCATAACAATTAATTTGACAATTAATCCCCTGTAGTCCCTGGACACCCTTATGTCCTGGTCACATGACCAATTTAGTGGGAAAGATTCGCTCTTCATAAAAATCTGTTCCAAATTGTCAAAATTACAGACTTCAGGCTATACATCTAATTTTAAATTGTGTTGATAAATAAATAAATTACAGAACTTTTTTTTAAATGTTTGTCATTTTTGAAGCGGAGAGGAGCACCGAGCGGACTGACCGGGAAAATATCCAGTCAGTCTGCCTGGTGGCATTAATCGTATTAATCGTCAAGTGCCAAAAAAAAAAAAAAAATTGATCAATGTTTTTCTTACGATTAACTGCACATGATACGATTATACCCAATCCTAGTCCCAAAAGAGAAAAGAGAACCCACTCCGAGGCTTCGTTCACCCTGCACGTCTTAATTTTCAAGCCTGATTTTTTTGCACCCTGTTTACAAAGTAAATGTGTAACGCTACAGATGTTAGCGTGTGTATCGATTCTGAAGTTATAATCAGATGTGATTAAATAATTATCAGCTACAGTTCAGTGTTTACATGTGAACCTGTCTTTGGCTCGAGCAGGATTGTATTTTTGGAACGGGAGCAACGTGCTGACAGTGAAACCAACTCAAGTATCGATCCCACAACTTGAATATCAACGTTTAAYGTTAGCATCACATGTTGCTGTGGATTCTCAGTCAACCAGGACATGGAAAATAAAAAATAATTAAGAGCTGAAGCAACAGGTCCAGGTSTGTTCTTTAGCTGAAGATGTGTGCAGATTTAAACAGCACGACTCCAGGYCAGCGKCTCGACGCACCCAGCCCCGCCTCACTGGATGAAATGAGACACGAGCATTCAGACTGAGGTCGCTTTGGAAACATCAGATCTGTATCTGATCCAGCACCACGTACTGTAAAGACCTGGGTTGTGTCACGTTCAGATTATCATGAAAAACCCAGATGTGGGTCACATTTAGCCGCAGTGTGAACGCAGCCTGAGTGCTCCAGAGTCATTATGATGTCTTTTATTTTGAAAGGATCAAAGTCAGTAATATGACTATTATTCAGAGAAAAATCTAAGCGTTAATGAAGATATTTGAAGTGTTTTGCCTAAAACTCAGATCTTTACCTAATGACAGATTTATAGTTGTTTTATTTCTAAAAAATGTTCTTATATAAATAAAAATGTTCAGACTTTTCATTGAAATGTTTTTGCCTCCTTGTAAAAATATGAATRATTTCCTCAAAGCTGATCAATTATACCTTTTCTTTCTTTTTTTGTTCGATGTTTTTACTACGTTTTAACTTGCAGATGTTAAAAACAGCACAAGAGGAGAAACTAAACTTCTTTTCAGGAGGATTTATTCATAAATTGTGTTTTACCTGTAAAAGAACGGATGAAAAGCAAGCCTCAGCTGCAGGCAAATATCAGCCTGTAAAATGCCACGAGCTTTAAAAAGACTCAAACTGTATATTTATATTAAAATTAAATAGAATAAAAATAAATTCTACAGTTTTCTGACAATATTAAACTCAACATGTATCTGAGATGTTCACCTTTTAAATTAAGTTTTTTTAGAACCTGCTTCAGAACTAAWATCAATCCTTAAAATAGTTTCAGTTTTTGAGTAAACTTTCTGTTTTCAGGATGAAATGATATAAACCGATCTCTGGTTTGAAGTTAATGAGCTAAAGTTTGTGTAAAAAAGYGAACAAACACGCGTACTGTTGGGTTTCTGTAAACGGAAACAGCCGGCTCAGTTCCTGCAGCCAACCTCCTCCTTGTAGCGGTTTGTGAGCGTGTTGGCTTTGTGCGTCAGTTTGGACAGGACCGTGTGCAGTCCGCTCAGGTGGAAGTGGAACTGTTTCTCCAGGTCGTCCTCCTCCAGCTCGGCCCGCAGCTCCTCCTTCAGGTCCGCCTTCTCTCTGGGCCGCTCGTCGGCCCCCCCGGTGCCGATGCTTTCGGGCCACTCGGCGCCTTCGTCCTTCAGCGGCTCGTCCCCCTGCAGGACGCCCCACTCGATGTCGTTCCGGATGGACTTGAGCAGAACGTAGGAGCTGTACATGTCCCCGTCCTCCTGCTGGAAGTAGGCTCGGCCGTTGCTGGTGGTGGTCTCCGGAAGCTTGGGCTCCTGGCTGTGGTCCAGCGGGACGTCGCGCAGCAGGTTCGGCACCATCACCGTCTGGTCCATGTTGTTGACGGCGCCGATGAAGCGGTTCATGGCGTTGAAGAGCGAGTTCTTCTGGTTGTAGGAGTCAGATATCTGCATCATGGTGGACAGGGGGATCACCTGTCCCGTCCAGAACCAAACTTAGCCCGTTAATGCTCTTTGGTGGATTATATGAAGGCTGCAGCCTGATCCTGGGTCAGCTCTGAACCCGCTCCTGATCCCAGAGAGGCACTCACCACTCCCACATCAACCACCGGACCAGCTTCCTGCTTCCAGACCCCGGTCCTGCCTGGTGTTGGACGGCGTCTCTGGCTCCAGACTTCTGGAAAACAAGCAGGAAGAGGAACTGATGGACCAGTGTTTCTGCAGGCGCCTCCTCGGGCTCATACACTCACATCATTTCATCCCAGGTCTCATGCAGCAGGATGAAACAAAGAATCAGGAAGTGTCCAACAGGCTAACACTGTTAGCATGGGAGCTAGCTGCTTCCTAGGAGCCCAGAGTTGAAAAAATATCCCAGAATGTAAATATTTATCTCAAGCATTAGTTCTTAAAAGTTCATGTAATAAACAGAAACTGTCTGCAGCTGCTAACAGCTAGCCATAAATACAAGAAATTAGCAGTTGCTATTCTATGTGTATTATCGGACAGCTGTATCCCTCTGCGTCTTGTTCATCATTTTTATTCCGTTACATCCGGTTAATCTGATCCTTACGAACACACAGACATGTTCTCTTCTACAATAAACCATATTTATGGTCAGTTTTGTTTTGTTTGAATTTTTAGTCATGTTTTCTTTGAGATGCTGCGCCCACAACGCCCAAATGGAAACCGGATGTTTTCAGGTTTAACACGTTTAAAACCTGACATCTACGTTTTTTTCTGGAGGTAAACCTCTTCAGTCTGTCTGAAAGACGAGCCTTAATAAAGGATTTTCTGTTTGTCAAATCTACAGCAAAATTAATGTAATAACAAGGGCGCGTCCGATAATGGAATCCTAAAACAAATAGCGYGTCCGATAATGGAACTAATGTTTACCTGAACGTTTCAATGTAAATTTCGACAGCAAAAATAAAAATAAATCAATGAAAGTAAAAAATATATAATCTTTATTCTAAAGTATTAATCTTCTCTAACAGGACTGAACGTTACCGCTGGTTAACGGTTCATTTCTCCGCAGTTCCCGGATCAGAACCGGTCTGTTCACCCGCCCCAGGCGATGGGTAATTCCGGGTTCCGCTGACTCCGCGGGCACCGGCCCGGTGAGCTTACCGTGGCTCGGTCGCTGTTCCCTGGAGCTCTCAGCTTGGTAAACCGGCGGGTTCTGTTCGTGTACCGGTCCGGGGGTGTGAGAGAGGAGCACCGATGGGTCAGAGAGAAGGACCGTCCGAACCGAGCCAAGAAGCAGGAGGAGGAAGAAGCAGCGAGGGCGGGGCTTACATCAGCAGGAACACATTGAGCCAATCACAAAGAGGGACTCCTGAATCAGCCAATCAGGCGCGACGTGGCGTCACATAGACCGTTGGAAAATGTAAGAACGGATTATTTACAACTTAATTATCTGACTTATATTTTCATGACTTCCTGGATTTTTACGAAAGAATGTAACTTTATTTGTGTGTGTTTGTTATTTAAATTAAATAACCAGGTAAGAAAATTTCCTTTATCATATAATAAATAACAATACTGTC